GACTCAGGTGGAGTACTGCTCTACTGCTCTCTCCTGGATAGTGGAGGCGCTGCATCAGAGTGACCTTGTAAAGCAGACTCGTCCACCTCCTCTTCCTTCCAAAGGTGTAGTGTTTACAGTCCCCTGCCTCACCCCCTCTTTGCAGTGTCAAAGTGTAGCTTAAGTTTCTCAGGTTCCCTCTTAGTAACAGTGTTTACGGTGTTGGTTTGGCTGTAACATTTAATGATCCGTAGTTACATATACAGTTACAGTCCTTCATTATTGATGGAGACATAATGTCCCCCCAAAATCTTTATGATCTTCCGTATTTTAGCGCAAAAATACGGAAGATCATAAAGATTTTGGGGCAACATTATGTCTATATATATATATATATATATATATACACACACAAAAGATTATTAGGAACACCTGTTCAATTTCTCATTAATGCAATTATCTGATCAACCAATCACCTGGCAGTTTAATGCATTTAGGGGTGTTGTCCCGGTCAAGACAATCTCCTGAACTCCAAACTGAATGTCAGAATGGGAAAGGTGATTTAAGCAGTTTTGAGTGTGGCATGGTTGTTGGTGCCAGATGGGCTGGTTTGAGTATTTCACAATCTGCTCAGTTACTGGGATTTTAACACACAACCATTTCTAGGGGTTACAAAGAATGGTGTGAAAAGGGTAAAACAGCCAGTATGCGGCAGTCCTGTGGGTGAAAATGCCTTGTTGATTCTAGAGGTCAGACATGGATCCATCATGCCTTGTTACCACTGTGCAGGCTGGTGGTGGTGGTGTAATGGTGTGGGGGATATTTTTTTGGCACACACTTTAGGCCCCTTAGTGCCAATTGGGCATCGTTTAAATGCCACGGCCTACCTGAGCATTGTTTCTGACCATGTCCATCCCTTTATGGCCACCATGTATCAATCCTCTGATGGCAGCAGATTAATGCACCATGTCACAAAGCTCGAATCATTTCAAATTGGTCTCTTGAACATGACAGTGAGTTCACTGTACTAAAATGGCCCCCACAGTCACCAGATATCAACCCAATAGAGCATTTTTGGGATGTGGTGGAATGGGAGCTTTGTGCCCTGGATGTGCATCCCACAAATCTCCATCAACTGCAAGATGCTATCCTATCAATATGGGCCAACATTTCTAAAGAATGCTTTCAGCACCTTGTTGAATCAATGCCACGTAGAATTAAGGCAGTTCTGAATGCAAAAGGGGGTCAAACACAGCTTTAGTATGGTGTTCCTAATAATCCTTTAGGTGAGAGTATATATATATATATGTGTGTGTGTGTGTGTGTGTGTGTGTGTGTGTATGCATATTAATATATATACAACGTTCGTTTTAGGTATTGAATTCTAATATGCATATTATAATGATTTTTCTATTAAATAAATGCAGTCTTGTTGACTTTTATGCTCAACAAGACTGCATTTCAAAAATAAAATCACTATGCAGATTTGCTTGTTAAGAACATTTGATCAATGTTGTGTTGCTTTGTTGTGGAAACCATGAAAATTTTATTTGAAATTTTGTAATATTATAAATGTGTGTGTGTGTGTGTGTGTGTGTGTGTGTGTGTGTATGTGTGTGTATATATAGAAAGAAAGAAAGACAGAAAGAAAGAAAGATATATGCAACACTGTTCAAAATATATATTTTTAAACATTTCTTATTATATATAACTATCATATCTCTTCTGTCTGTGTTTCAGGTATTGCATCTAAACGTCCCACTTTTTCCAGATAAATTATGCTGATAATGCAGATGCATTTTATGTTCTTGGTTATGTGCGAGTTTTTTTGTTTGTATGCTTTGTCATTTCACCATGTTGACATGTTTAATGTGTTGGTTGTATCAGTTTTTTTTAACATTGCATCAAAAAGATGAGTATGTTTATTTTTCAAAAAACAACACTTGTTAGCGTTATCATTAAGATGTATGAAATATTTTCTGGGTGGAAGCAATGTACAAAATACATTTTGTGGCAATTTTGTCATATATTCTCTAGTTGCTAATGGTGTATAAAAAATTTATTATAATCGAGTATTCCTTTGTTAAAAACTGTATTTGTAGCCTACCAAACTACATGCAAATTTAAAGGCTGAATTAGCTGCGGATTTTGGGATGTGGATTTGTGCTTTGTTAATGATTGATTCAAAAAGTAACTGCAGTAACTCACAGCAAAAATGCCATTATTTATATATACAGCGGGGCCAAAAAGTATTTAATCAGCCACTGATGGTGAAAGTTCTCCTACTTAGAATAATGGGAGAGGTCTGTAATTTTCATCATAGGTACACTATGAGAGACAAAATGAAAAAAAAAAAAAAAATCCAGGACACATTGTAGGATTTTTAAAGAATTGATTTGTAAATTATGGTGGAAAATAAGTATTTGGTAAGTATATAAGTATATTATATATAATAAGTATATAAGAATATACGAAGAGTTCAGATGCAAAAGCCTCTAAATGCCATTTGAAATTTTCTTCT